GGCGCGGGCTGGCGGGGGAGGGGGGGACTTGTGAGGAATTCGCTCGCGCCTGACAGGAATTTTGCAGCGCCTTGCAGAAGGTGCGCAAAACGCTCGACCGAACAAGGGGGGGGGGGCATAGGGCTTAGAGGTTAGGGTTCAGTTAGGGCTTAGGCGTTGGGGTTCAGAGGGGGTTCGGGCTGGGGGGCTTAGGTAGGGCTTGGGGCTGAGGGCCGGGGCGTCAGGGGTTCGGGCTTTGTGGGGGGGAGGGGGGGGGGGGGGGAGGCTTAGGCCCTAGGGGCCTAGGGTTTAGGGCTTCGGGTTCAGGGCTATAGGATAGGTTTTAGGCCTCTGTGCTTAGGGCTTAGGCCGTGGGGCTTAGGCGTCAGGGTCTAGGGCCGAGGCCGCAGGGCTTTGGGTTCATGGGGGCAGGGCTTTGGATTCATAGCTGATCGCTTTGGGCTTAGGTCATCGGGCTTAGGGCCTAGGGCTTAAGGTTCAGCGGTTAGGGCTTAGGGCCCAGGGGTTGGGCATAGGGATGAGGGTTCAGGGCGTTGGGCTTTGGGGTCGGGGCATGGGCTCGGGTATTCGGGTTCAGGAGTTGGGGCTTTGGGGTCAGGTTTCAGGGTTTAGTGATCAGGGCTCAGGGCTGAGGGCATAAGGTATCGGGCTTAGGGCTCCGTATCAGGGTCTGGGGTTTGGGGTCTGCGGGCTTAGGCCGTATGGTGAGGAGTTATGGCTCGGGGCTTGGGGCTTACGGCTCAGGCTTCAGTGGCGGGGGTTTCGAATTTGGGAATAGGAATCAGGGCTAATGGCTTAGAGCCGAGGTTACAGTGGTTTGGGTTCTACGCTTCGGGCTTGGGGGCTCTGGCCCAGGGCAGGGCTTAGGGGCTAGGGCTTAATGCCCAGGGCTTATGGCGTAGGCGTCAAGGGCTTAGGGCATAGGGCTTGGGTCCTTGGGTTTCGGGCTTAGACCGTAGGGCCGTAGGGGTTAGGGCTTAGAGGTTTGAGTTTTGGGCTTAAGGCTCAGGGCTTAGGGCTCAGGGCCTAAGAGTTAGGCATTCTGGCTTCAAGCTGGGGGCCTTGGGTGCAGGGCTTGGGAATGGGGCTTGGGGCTTACGGGTTTGGGTTGACTACCCTGCGCCGCGCTTGACCACCCCCACTGCTCGCGCAAACACCCCGCCCGCCCACCCGCAACTTGGTTTGCAAAATCTCTTAAGACCGTGACGGTGGGTACCAAATTGCACTTGGCAGCGGCAGCGGCGCCGACGACGACGGCGCCAACGACGACGACGACGACGCCGACAACGACTACGACGACACCGACGACGTCTCCAACGACTTCGACGACGCCGACAATGGCGACGACGACGACGACGACACCGACGACGACGACGACGCCGACGCCGACGACGACGACGACGACGATGACAACGACGTCGACGATGACGACGCCGAGGACGACGACAGCGACGACACCGACGACGACGACGACGTCAACGACGCCGACGACGACGACGACGACGACGGCGGCGACGACTACAACGCCGACGTCGACGACGACGAAGACGACGACGCCGACGACGACGACGAAGACGACGACGACGCCACCAACGAAGACGACGACGAGGGAGGAGGGAGGACGACGACGGCGACAACGACGACAACGACGAGGGAGGAGGGAGGACGGCGACGACGCGAACGACGAAGAAGGAGAAAGGACGGCGACGCCGACTACGACAACGACGAGGGAGGGGGGAAGACGACGACGACGACAACGACGACGACGACGACGGCGACGAAATAGGAGGGACGACGACGAGACGCCGACGACGGACGACGACGATGACGAGGGAGCAGGAGGAAGGACGACCACGGCGACAACGACGACGGAAACGACCACGACGCCAAAGAGGACGACGACGACGACGAACACGATGAAAGACAGAGGACGATGTAGGCGACGACGACGACGACGACGCGGGAGGAGGGAGGACGACGACGACGACGACGACGCAAGAGCGCGCGCGCACGCTTTTGTTGAAAATTCGTGTTGCGAAACCTTGTGTTTTGTATGTTTTTTGGACACACGATTTTGAAATCCTTCCGAAACCGATGGGTTTTGAAGGATTTCGGCATACGCGCGCGACGACGCGCGCGTCTGCACTTCGTCTCATTTTTTGCAGAGGATTCTCGCGACGGCACACGCGCAAGGGCGGTCGGCAGATTTCGACATGCGCGCGCGAAGCCCGTTTGGTAGAATTTGGTGAAAAGGTTGAAAACCTATGTTTTTTGTTTAAAAAATATTTCGCAAGAGTTCGCGCGTAAACGTTTTTATCAAATCAGTGTTGCGAAACCATGTGTTTTTGCATGCTTTTTGGAAACTCGATTGCGAAATCCTTCTGGTACCGAAGGTTTTTGAATGATTTCGGCATGCGCGCGCGACGACGCGCGCGTGTGCACTTCGTTTTTTTTTTTCTTCTTTTTTTGTTTGTTTGCAAGGGGTTTGCGCAAAAAGTCTTCTGTTGGAACAAAATGTCCCGCGTTTTTGCTTTTATATATATATTTTAAAAAGGGAACCTCAGGGGGAGCGATACCGGCCCCCCGGGGATAGTGTAAATTCATATTTCTGATGGACATGTGGTCATACTGTAATCATATATGGTTTACACACCCGAAAGGGGGACCCATAGCGCCAGAGGAGGGAGAGTTTTTTATAATAAAAAAAAAGAATTCAGGGTTGAGGGCTAAAGGCCCAGGGCTTAGGTTTGGGGTCAGGGCTCATAGGGCTTAGGGTTCAGGGCAGGGGCTAGGTCCTCGGGCTTAGGACTTATGGGAATGGGCTGCGGGTTGAGGGCGCCGGAATTATTGTTTAGGGCTTGGGGTTTAGGTCTTCGGGCTTAGGGTTCCGGGATTTGCGTTCTATGGCTTAGGTTTCAGCGATCAGCGCATAGGGTTGAGGGGTCAGGGCGTCGGGCTCCTGGACTTAGGGCGTCAGGCCGTCAGGGCGTCAGGGCTCAGGGCTCGGGGCGTCGCGGCTTAGGGCTCAGGGGTGAGGGCGCAGGACAAAGAACACGAGGAGAATGAAGATCCTACAGTCCTTCGTACCTCGCACCCGTAACTACGCGGTCCTTTCTGTAGCACGACCAAAAACGCTGAAATTGTACCAGTCCAAAGTAGTACCTAAAGTGACGAAAGAGGGATTAAAACTTGACCATTCGGACCCCCCATCTATGACCCCCCCCCATCACCTGAATGCCGCCAATCAGCAGCAGGCAGTGGCAGGCAGTAGCAGGCAGCAGCGGGCCGTCGGGTATAGCGGTGTAGCAACATCAGGGTGCAGCAGGCAGCGACACTCAGCATCTCTGTTCCCCAGCCCCCCTTCTCTCTCCCTCCCTCGATCCCTCCCTCCTCTTCCTCCTCCTCCTCTTCCTCCTCCTCTGGCCCCAGCCCCATCCCTGTCCGCGGCTCTGGCCCCGGCCCCGGCTCCGGCCCTGGCCCTGGTCCTATAGCCCTGGCCCCGGCCCCGGCCCCGGCGTTACTCCAGGCGCTCATCGATGTGGAAAGCGACGATCACATTGCGGACGGCTTCCATGACGCCGCCCAGACCGGCGCTTGCGCCGAGCAGCACCGGGCTCGCGGCAGCGCCATGGGGGCCTCGCGGTTGCTGTCCGAAGGAAAAGCAGCGCAACGCTTAGATCACCATCCGCGTTCTCCGCGTGTGTTTTTTGGTTGTTTGTTTTTTTGGGGGGGGGGGCGGGTTCGGAGGAGGACAAGGGCGCGGGTTTGGGGGTTTCGGAGCGCGCGGGCGACCAAGGTCGCTTTTGGTGTTGGCCCCGATCGTGGTGAACATCCGCCCTGCCGTGCGACGCGGTGTTTTCTCGTGCATGCGGGGGGTCCTCGGGCTTGGGTTTCTCGAGCGCGTCCCTGCGCTGTTGTGGGCCCCCCGTCCCGCTTCTCCGCGCCGAGCCTCCGACTGGCGCGCAAGTTCCTCTCGGCGAGCCGAGACCTCGACCGCGCGGACTGATGTTGTTGCTGCGGGTGCACCGCAGCCCCGCCGCATCCACGCGTGGTGGTCGCGCTCTCCCCCTCCCTCCTGCCCAGCCCCCATCGGCAGCCCCCTTCGTGTCCACTTGTTGAAGGTGCTGGGACGGAGGTGGTAGGGGGTTGGGGGAGGGGGGAGTGGCGGGAAGTCCTGACATCTCTCTTGTTTGATATCTCCCCTTCCTTCCTTCTTCCTTCCGTCCTTATGTCTCTCTCTCTCTCTGTCTCTGTCTCTGTCTCTCTCTATCTCTCTCGCTCTCCCTCTCGCCCTTCTCCCGTTAGCCGCCCATATATATACATATATGTATATATATATGTGTGTATGTGGTTAAATGCTGCGTGTTCTTATACAACAGACACTTACACATCACATGCACATTTTCATCTATGTATCTAAAGTTTGATGGAACTGTAGCTGATGCATGCCTGCGTATGCATAATTGCATACGCAATCATGCATACACCATTGCATTGCGTACAAGCGTATGCATAATTGCATTCATGGTTGCGTAGCAATGCACATGTAATCATGTTTGCGTGTGCATAATTGCATCACGTACAAGGGTAGGTTCTAATATGTCTACATGTATCTACGTCTGCTGCCCTGTCTGTCTTTGTTATCCCTCTCTCTTTGTTATATCTATATACGTACCCCTTCTCGCCCTTTCCCGGCCTCTCTTTCCGTTATGCTTCCTTTATTGTTTTCCCTTCGTTCTCTCTTTCTCTCGTTCTTTGCCCCCTCTCTCTCTTTGTTTCTCCCTCCCTCTCTCGTATCGTTTTCTCCTCCCTCCCTCCATTTTTTCCCTCGTCATTCTCCTCGCCTGCCCTCCCCCCCCCCCCCCGAGGAGGAGGAGGGGGAGGAGGAGGAGGAGGAGGAGGAGGAGGAGGAGGAGGAGGAGGAGGAGGAGGACCCCCCCCCTCCCGCCTCGCGCCCCCTCCCCGGCTGGGCACCCCCGCCGGCCCCTTTCGCGCGCCAGGCTTGGCGAGGCCCGCCAGCTCGCACGCCGCCGTGCCGTGCGTCGCGGAGCAGAGGCGCGGGGGGGGAGGGGGCAGGGAGGGAGGGAGGGGAAGAGGGAGGGAGGGAGGGGAGGGAGGGAGAAGGGGAGGGAGGAGGGGCAGGGAGGAGGGTCGGGGAGGGCGGGAGGGAGGGAGGGGAGGGAGGGGAGGGAGGGGAGGAGGGAGGGAGGGAGGGAAGGAGGAGGAGGAGGCCGGGGCGGGGAGGGGAGGGGTGGAGGAGGGATTGACCGACTGACTGACTAACGCGCGTGTCGGCAGGAGGCCGTCCCGATGCGGGGCGCGGTGCCTTCTCTCACGCGGTGGAGTGGGGGCTCCATCCGCGGTGCCTTCTCTCACGCGTCGTCTCGCAGCTCTCTCTGCTGCACTGTAACGGATGATGTAGCACCACCCCACCTTAGTCCGGGTCGCGCTGCTCGGCGCGCCCTGGGCGACGGGAGGAAGGGTTCGGAGATAGAGGAGGAAGGGGAGGAGGCTCGCTCGCTCGCTATATGCGCATGGCCAAGTCTCGAGTCGCTCGGCCGGGGCGGTGGCCGCAGGGCGCTGGGGAGGCATTGTGCTCCCGCCGATGTCAAACAAGAAGGGGAGCCCCTCCCCCAGCAATCAGCTTAGGTACCCCCTGATCGCTGCAAAGGGTCGAGTGGCCTGTGCGTGCAGTGCAGACACAGACGTCATCGCGGAGACGCAGAGAGAAGAGAGAGGACGAGACGAACAGAGCGGCAGCACGGGCGGCGGCAGCGGAGGAAGAGAGGGGGAGAACGGCAAGCTAGGCCGCGTGGCAGTAGACGAGGTGTCAACCCTCGTTCGAAACCCAAGCGGCAACATCAACGTAAGAGGAGGAGAAGGGAAAGGAGGAGGAGGAGGAGGAGGACATGGTGGAGGAGGAGGAGGAGGAGAAGGTTGATCAGAGGAGGACACCGGCTACGGGTTGCAGCACAGAGCGCTCAACGGAAGAAGAGGACGAGGTAGGAGGAAGAGGAGGGAGGGGAGGGATGAGGAAAAAGAGATAGGAGGAAGTAGGAGGAGGGAGAAGGCACTACGCTGCTTGGCCTTGGCTGGGTGGGGGGGCAATGACTCGATGACACCGCCGCTGACGTTGCCTACATCCACACCCGAGCCATCTCCTACATTGGACTCCCCACGTCATGTGGCTGGCCTGCGGCCATTGGCGCCAACATGAATTGTGACGGCCGCGATGAGAGCATCACGTAAAGTCGTTGGGGCCATCTTCGTTCCACAACTCAACCAGCATGCTTCCTGGCCCGCTCCTTATCTGTATAATTAAATATCTGTTTGTCGTCGCTCCTACTTTCGGCTCTTTACTTTGCGCTTCAGCGCCATTTTGTGCGAGCTCGCAAAACCGTTCGTCAGCTTCTGCCGTCTCTGCGCAGTGACCGCTGCTGCTCGCATCCTAGTCTGCACCGCGCAGCAGTTTAGCTAACAGGGCAAGCTAGGCATAGAGCCTCACTTTCTTTTAAGCGTAACCTGCCAGCAACCACGTCCCGCTCGCCCCATGTAGCATCAGCCGTTCCATTTTGCCGCCATGCTGCTGTAGATGCAACCACCCCGCCTGGTCTGGAGCTCTCGAGTTCCAGCATCAAGCAACGCACCCTACAGTATACAATCGCTTTGTCGATCGCGCGCCCATATGTCCTTCTCATCACCCCAATTGCAATTATCGGTTGTACTCTCTCTCTCTCTGTCTCTCGCCTTCTGCGCCACCTTGTGCAGCGGTATCTTTGTTCAGCCTGGATGCCCTCTGCCGTTTATCGGCAGAAGTTCTGTCCTCGCAGCTTGCACCGGTTTGCGACGTCTAGCCTGCCCCAGCGGCCGCAGCCCACAGCCATAGTTTCTTTACGTATTCGCTCAAGTGCGTCAGCTTGCAGCCAAGTGCCGACCGTAGCACCAGCCCTTCCGCTTCGCCGCGCTGCTACAGATAATAGCTTCCTCGCCCATTCGAGGGCACCCGTGCTGCAGTCACGATCAGCATACGTCGCACATCCCGTACGCTGGACAGCGCGCAGCACTACGTCGTACCGTCAGATCTTCACATGATGCATCTTCACGTGGGCCCCCAGTCGTAGCGGACGCGACGGAGGGGTGATGGGGTCCAGACTCGGACAGTCAAAAGTAGCGCCCAACAGGCGCCAAGTTGCAGACAGACGGACGGTAGGTTGCAAACTGGTCGCGGGTGGGTCGCGTACGGGTGTTCCGCGGACGGGTCGCTAGCAGTTGTGTTCCTAGTAGCACGTGGCACGCAGACAAGAAGATCGCAAGGGAGGGCGCCAACAAGAGGAATGATAGCCTACTGTTTGAAGAAAGGGGCGAGGATGCGTCGCCGCCTTCCGCCCCCACCGCGCCCAGGGGCAGCGCATTTCTGATCGGGCCCCTCATTCTTGCATTGTGCAGTCTCACGCTCAGCTGCGCAGCCGCTGTGGCACATGGTGGGGGATCACTGGCTCTTGTTTTGGCCGCCTCTAGCATACGTATTGTCCACGTCTGCGCATGGACACCCTGCGCCTTTCATCGCCACCGCCCTCTTGAGCCTGGCATGCTTTCGAAGCGACGCCTTGCACTCGCAACTCGATATACATGGGCGGGTGGATGGATCTAACATGATTGGGGCATGTGCGCTACCTGCTGGCTTTAACTGCTCCACACCATGTTTCCCCATCTGCGCCTACGCGCGACCTTTCTTCACAGTGCATCGAGTTTGTTGGTACATCTCGCTTTGCTCCACCTTGTCGCGGTAATCGGCTCAGCAGTTGTTTATCGTTCCACAGACGGCAGGTTTTCCTCCGTGCTGGGCCGGGAGCAGATGAGGATGTGGAGGTGAAGGTGCCAGGAGGAGCAGGAGTAGGAGCAAGAGGAGGAGGAGTAGGAGGAGAAAGAGGAGGATGAGGAGGAGGAGGAGCAAGAGGAGGAGGAGGAGGAGGATGTGTGAATAGAACCCGTATAATACCCTCATACATACTCCTTATCCTCACCTCTCCTGCGCCTGGCCGTTTGGGCTCAGGTATTGGACTAGATTGATCAGACCTTTGATCGTGCAGGAGGAAAAGATATCCATCTTTCCCTCCTTTCCTCTACCGACGGATCAGGGGTTCTGTACCTTTGTACTCTAACCCCATACACAGGTTATCAGCCCTTTAAATCTCACAGTTCATCGAACCCCGCGTCGCGATCTCGCACGCGGCCTCGATGGAACCCAAGCGGCGCATGCGCCGTAAGGGGTCCATCGGGGCCTCGCGTCCGGGCTCTCCGACGGCGCGACGGCTCGGTGATGAGTTGGAGAGCCTTAGTGTGGACCGTATAGGTGTCCCAGGTCCCCCCCCCCCCCCCAGCCCCGACGGACCCGAGGCGCGGCTAGCTGATGAACTTCACCGCCACGCCGCCCGCGGGGGGACAGGAGAAGGAGTAGGAGCAGGCAGTCGGGAGTTTCACACGCCTACCTTCGATCCTCCATCTCCTCCTCCGTCGGGAGCAATCCCAACTGCGTCGGGCGCGAGCCCCACTGGTCCTGATACTCCAGGGCGCCTTCGCGCTAACCGCCGATGGACCACAAGTGCTGGCATGACCAGCCCTGCGACCGTTCCTGTAGCGGAGCACGTAGCCACCTTCGAGGAACTCAGTAGACCAGTGGCGGCACAGCCGCAGACGCAGTGCCCCCAGGTATCATCTCATCAGACACCACACACACGGCCCTAGCCGCAGCTCGTCCTTGCGCAACCGTCGCGGGGCCACAGGCCCATGCAACGAGAGGAGGTCGAGCCCGCGTGCTGCCTCACAGAGGCCATGCACTCCTCGCGAGAGGGTGCAGAGGGAAGCTGACGCTCCCCACCTCTCCATCTCAGATGACCCGCTGGCGGCAACGTCCGCCGCAGACGAAATAGCTGAGCTCAGAGACCAGGTTGAAACCTTCGTGTCCAGACAGTACTCTGGACTGATGCAGAGCGTTCAAACGAACACTGCCAACGCCGCTGCTCTACGCAAAGATCTCGACGGCGCCTAGGGATCATCGATTCTAGGATCGCTGAAGATCGCCGCATCTTAGGTGAGCTGCAGTACCAGCTTGACCGTGAGATGTCACACTCAGGTGAACGATCGGCGACGGTCGAGAACCTGCGCAACTACCTCGTGTAGATGGAGCAACAGCTTGTGATCGTACGCGACACAGGCGTTTCAGCAGTCAGGATCCTCCATGACGAGATCCACGACCAGCTCCGCAACCGACCACCACCAGCCGAGGCCACCGACCTTGGCGACGTTCAATCTCAGATCAACGATCTTCGATCCCACATGGACCGCACTACGGCGACGCTCGGCAAGCACATGCCAACTCGTCGAACCTGATCGGCATGTTGCAAAATACTGAGAGAGTTATCACTCCAAGGCTTGATGCGACCAACGCTGTCGTGCAGCCACTCGCTAACCGGATCTCTGAAAATCGAGCAGCGCTTTCCTGGTGTACAGGACGCCCTGGCAGAGTTGCGTGTCGGACGAGCCCAGACTGTACAGCTGGATTCTCCTCCTACGGTTTACGATTTCGCCCGCCTCACTGACAGGTTGCAGGAGGTCGAGAAGGCGGCGGGCCACGCGCAGTCTGAGCTCTCCCAGGTCATTCGTGAGAGAGATACTGAGAAGGTTCGTGTTGAGGAACACCTCGCACGTCTGGGCAGTGAGTTGGAGGCGCACAACGCCCGTCTCCGAGCCTACGAGCAGCGACTTGACCGGCATTCACAACGCTCTCGGGATACTGATGAGTACACACGCCAAAAAGTGAACCAGATACACGATGACATGACGAGCTGGACAAAAAAGCTGATTGACCACACCAACGACACCATACTTCACCTTCAACCTGCAACCGACCTGCACAGGCCGACGGCAGCGTCCGCCGAAGAACCACGCGCTTCTGCAGGACAACAACGACGTACGTCACCAGGAGCAGCCTCCGCGGCAGCTTCAGCACAGACACGCCACGTGTCTCCTGCGCGCACAGAACCAACTACCGACGG